GCTGCCTGTCACCCTGTGCTGCTGCCCAGACCCGTCGCAAGCCAGAACTGAGCTGGGCTGCTGACCTGCCTGCTAAAAAAAAAAAAATTACTGGCAAGGGGTGGGAGGGGAATGCGTGTAGTCTACAGCATTAACCTGTACACTCTTGCTTATCGGTTAATAGACTACACTACTACATCCCTACCCTGACAGATTTACTTTCTCCCTTGCTCTAAAAATATTATGACGCACACAGCAGGCTGCCACCATAAAGGGTTGCATTTGTCAGGGTTTAACCTAGTCAGTAGATCAGTAACCCTTCCCTTTAAATGCCCAAAAGCACATTCAACCACTATTCTACACTTGCTCAGCCTGTAGTTAAACTGCTCCTTACGGAGGTCCAGGCTGCCCATATATGGTTTCATAAGCCATGGAAGCAAGGCGTAGGCTGGGTCACCAAGCATCAATATTGCCATTTCCACCTCTCCGATTCTAGTTTTCCAGTCTGGGAAAAAAGTTCCAACTTGCAGCTTTGTGAATAGGCAGGAGTGTCTCAAGATCCACGTGTCATGCACAATTCCCAACCACCCCACATTGATGTCAGTGAAATGGCCCTTGTGATACGCCATCGCCTACAGCACCTTGCTGTTTATTTACTCCTTGACAACATGGTTGGGGGCCAAGATGGGGATGCACATTCCCTCTATCACCCCACTGCAGTTAGGGATCTGCACTGCAGCAAAGCCATCCACGTTTCCAGAGTCACTACCCTCTGTAGCAGAAGGGCATTGTTTGCCTTAGCTACTTGAACAACAGCAGCCCCCATTGCAGGTTTCTCCACTCCAGACTGATTCCCAACTGACTGGTAGCTGTCTGGCGTTGCAAGCTTCCACAGGGCAATTATCACGCCCTTCTCCGCTGTCAGAGTGGGGGGTCAATTCTTGTGTTCCTGTGCTTGAGTGCAGGGACATTGAAACCTTCCCTTCGGCCACCCCCGTGGAAATTAAAAGTCCCTCCACACCTTTGGAAAAACAGGGGCCAAGTCTGTGCATCCCCAGCTAGTTCCAGCGTCCAAGGCTCGGGCCCAACCTCCCAGCTGAGCTGGAGGAAAACAGGGGAAGGGGAACAATAACCCGTCCCTCCACTTTGCCACAGGCAACATCACACAAAATTACGGGTCAATGGGGAGAGCTAGACTCTGGGCCCATTGCAGGGTATTAACCTGGGTGCATTGATGGGTCATCCCTATGCACCCCAGCCCCCCCTCCCAACCACCCCCCA